TTTCATTCCATATATCTAGACTATAATTCTATATATTCCACCTTTCATTCCATATATTTAGATTTCATTCCATATATCTAGACTATAATTCTATATATTCCACCTTTCATTCCATATATCTAGACTATAATTCTATATATTCCACCTTTCATTCCATATATTTAGATTTCATTCCATATATCTAGACTATAATTCTATATATTCCACCTTTCATTCCATATATCTAGACTATAATTCTATATATTCCACCTTTCATTCCATATATTCAATTCGAATGTATGTTAATAACCTTGATAGTAACTGCTGCGGTTGTACACTTGTAAAAAGGAAGTTACACTGTTACATAATAGTAGAGTAATATTGTAAAGTAGCTGTGACCCTTGTTGCAGACAGTAACAGGCCAACTCCAGCCACAGGCAGCTGCAGAGAGAAAACCCACCTTGCTCCGGGTCGGTTGGAGGTCCCGGTATCAATCGGTACTCCGACAAACGCCGCATCGAGCCCCTCGGCTGTGTCCTGGAAAGGTAACTTTGCCATGGTGGGGATCCCCGACACCCTGGCGACAAACTCTGCGCTCGGTGGCACATTGTACCGTTTCCCTGAACTCTGTCTGTTGGGATTAATGCACACAGTTCGTCTGTCGCTGCACACACACGCAGTTTGACGTGTCCGCAGAGAGAACAAGTCCGCTGCACCGGAAGCAGCTCTGCGACTTATATTAAAGTTTCTCCAACATGAAAACATGCCGACTGTGAGCTGTGGCTGTGATGTGGAGCTGACAGCAGCCTGAGATAAACCCACGGACTAACGAAGTCCTGATGATACTTTAGGTGCTTCCTCCAAAGCTCGTAACATTCTGTATCAACTGTACAGTAACTGACAAAAAGTAAACTATGATAGTATTACATGTCTATTAAATTACCACACGCTCCTGGGTTAAATGCATCTCTTCTCATCACATCACCGCTGCGCAGTGTCACATCACTACAGGTGAGATATACGTTTGCTACATGTCGTTCATTTATGTACATGTAGTTTTCAGATTTAAGATATGAGCGATGTGAGTCCTGACCATGAAGGCAGCACGAGTCCATAACAGAGCAGGTAGGAGGGGCAGCTGTGTAAATGATTATAGCCTAACTTGACTTCAGAATTTGAGTCACTGAAAATATGGTAGAATTCAGTCACATTTAAGACGGTATCGAAAACGTGAGAATATAATATTAATTAAAAAAAAA